GCCGGGCCGCCCCGCTCCGGGACCGTGTCCCCAGCGCGGGACAGGAGCCCTGAGGGGCGGGCGAGGCGGGCCACCGCCGGCTGATCCTCTGTAGGTGGCTTTTGCAGCAGCTACAGGAGAGGAGGAAGGAAAATTCTTGCGCGTCCCTGCTGACTTCTCGGCGCGTCGCCCTCCCCCACCCACCCCACCCCGCGCAGTGGCTCCGGGAGAAAAGAGATTTTGCAGGATTCGGGGCTCTTTGCCTTAGGTGACACCAAAAAATGGGGAGGGAGACCCCGAGGTGTACATGAGGGATGGGGAGGGGACTTGTCAAAATAGTTCTTAGTGACTCATGTGGATGGCTGGACACTTTTTTCTTATGTATTCATTCTTGTCATTCCTAGAGAACAAGGATGAGTTTTTTAAAGAACTGGAAAACTTGTCAGCTTGGTGATTAAAATAAGTTGCGAAGCCCTGGCTGCGGGGGGGGGGGGTAGCAGTTTTCCACGAATCTCAATCTTTTATTAAGTCTAGCCTGCATCTCAAACTAAGTCTAGTGTCTTCACTTTCTGGCCGCTCCCGGGGTGGGGGTAGGATATAAAATTAAATTTAAAAATTCAAATGTTTCAATGGCTATTTATTTAAGTACTTATCTCCCAATGTGGGTTTAAAAAGCGATCTTTGGATCCCCAAAAGGTTTCGGTCGAGAGGATGAAGGAACGCGGGGGGAAAAAAATGGCAGTTTTTTTTTCTTTTTTTTTTTTTAAACCTAAAATGTGGTTTCTGGAGGCTGGGATTTCTAATGATTAGGTTTTTGCGGTTTATATAGACACGACTCTGGCGAAGGCGATCATTACGCTGATGAGAGTCAGCAGCACGTGGGTGTCTCCGACCAGCCCCAGACTCTGAGCCTCCAGAACCCGCGGCCCAGCGGGCGCGCGCAAAGCGGGGACCCCGCTGCATCCGGAGACAGGCATGGGCCATGCGCCCTCGCCGGGTACCGCTAAGGCGCGAGCATCTTATCATCCTTTAAACCTTCCAAAGCCTGACAAAATGCTCGCAGAGAAAGAGTCCTTTGCCGCGAAGTCCCAGTGATTCCTCATAGGCTGGCTGCCACCGCCATGCGTAATTTTTATGAAAGAAATGAAAAATTCGAGTTCCTGCCCCTAGGGCATTTGGGAAGGAAGGTGGCTGGGTCGCCGCTCACTTCTCGTGGTCCTATTAAAAGCTCTTCACTTACCCTTTAAGGGTGGTTTTTATGGCTGGGAGCAGGAGGCTGCCTCCCCCTGAAAAGTGCGCTTGGGTCTGCACGCCTTGGGGCCTGGACGCCCCTGAGAGCGCGGGACCCGGGTACTCCTATAAAAGTGAATGGCCGCGGCTGCTGGACCTCGTGGACCTGGGTCGCGGTAGAGATGCTCTGGGGACCCAGCGGGGGTGGGTTGGGGTCCCTAAGCGTGCTCTCTGGTCTAAGGGGGCGGGGGCTCACTACTCCCTCCTGACTCTGACATTTTCTTCTCCTTTCCTTTCTCCATGCCCAACTCCACGCTCCCCCGTGGGTCTTTCCCTCTCGCAATTTTTCCTGAGTTCCTCCTCTCCGTCAAATCCCTCCAAGCACTGAAGCCGCGCCGCCCCGGGCTCCCCTCCCCCTGCGCCTGCCACCGCCGCTCTTCGAGACCTAGAGAAGCCCCTGGCACCGCCCGCTGCCTGACGCCTTCCCCAACCTGTTCCGCGCAACCAGTGGATGCGAGAATCCACATACGCGAGACCCACAGGGCGCTGCGAGAGGCTGGGCTGTCTGCTGCGCCTGCGACTTTTAATTATCTTTTCGGTCACAGGGGAGAGCTCTAACCTTGAGTACCGCCGCGCTTCCTGCGTGCGCAAGTTCGCCGGCCCCAGACGCCCCAGCCAGGAAGGGGAGCCAGGCTTCCCCCTCAAAAAGCAAAAGAGAGACTGCACCCATGACTCTCCCGCCCTGCATAGCCCGTGTGTGCTCTCACATCTGCACACCGACCTCACAGTTCCGCAACTCAGTTCACGTCCGCCCCCCGCCCTCAGTGGGGCAGTTTCACTAGGGGCGAGTTGTTCCACTGTCTGACAGAGATGTCTGACTTGTTTGTTTAAATGTGTGGGGACGGCAAACAGGGCAGGGGTTAGAGGAAACGTATTATTATTTCTGTGGTCACAGGACGGTAGAGATTCCTTGGTAGGTGCTAGTCTGCCTTCTCTAGGGTTCGACCTCCTCCCAAGAAACTCGTGGAACAGAGAACTCCCGGAAATTTGAAGGCCTTGACAGTCAATATTTCAAAAATGGGCTCCTAGAGGGGCTTTTTTTTAAAAAAAGAAAGAAAGAAAGAAAGAAATCATCTAGGGCTCTTGGAATCTAAGAAATCGTTTTGGGGATCTTTTCTCTCTCCAGCACTGTTTTGTTTTTTCTGTTTCACTAGCACACAGTGAGGTACGCAGGCATCAATGGTTAGGGGTTTTAAGGGCAAGTCCATCAATGGTGAGATTATTTATTTTAATTAATCATATCCGGTAATTCAGCTTTATTGCTTTCCTCGGCATCCTCCCTCCATTAAGCATTTCAGTGGAACTAATATAAGCAGCTCTTGGAGGTTACTAGTCTTGGATGCCTTAAAATATCCTACAGTTATTTATAATGTGGAAATGAAATTTTCCACTGAATACCCTAACAACGTTTTAGGTATCTGGCACAGCGAATTTTCAGTCTCTTTTCAAAAATATCCTCTTGCTGAACATTCACACTTTCAGCTGGGGCCTGGAATTGATGATGTCTTGGCTCTGAGCATTATACTTAAAGACGAAAACCGTTTTACAGGCCTCTCCATCCTTGCCTGGTAACTAACAGCAGGCACATAGGAAAATCATGAAGTTTTACATGTTCGTATTCTGTGCTATAGTGAATTTCACCTCATCCTTGAGTTTAGATTTTCTTCTGTATCAAAATGTCTCGAACAAAATCACCAGCCAGATTCCTTTTCAGAAATACTCATTTGTTCAGTTATACATTACAGCATAAAAAAGAATGGACTTTTTTTCTTGAAAACATGGCCATCCAGGAAGATACAAACATAATTTTCCCCTGCATTGACTTTATTTTTTTTGTTGTTTTTTGTTTGTTTGTTTGTTTGTTTCTGGTACCGGGAATCAAACTCACAACCTCACGCTTGTCCATTGCCTTTAATACTTAATATAACTGTTCAGTATAACACTTGGCAATTCAGACATTCCAGACAAAGAATATGTGATGTAAAGCCATGAAGTTATTTATCCAGTCAGAAAACTGAATTACTAAACTGAAAACAAAGCCAGGCATCTTTCATTCTGGAAATATATATTTCATATATATAACATATATAAATATATAAATATATAAAATATATATATGAAAACCTCTTAAAATAGTTTGCGATAAGCCTGGCAATAAAGTGGGACAACCAATAACAATTATAAACACATTGATGATCCCTAATCTTTGAATATGTCCTGTGGGACAACTTTATACGCAGAATTATCATTGGAAACATTTCCCTAGGACTGTGCTTGAACAAAGGTTAGCCCTTAAAGAAGTCTTCATAAACAGCCCATGGACTAATTTTGACCTAACTCCTATTGTTGTAGCTCACAAGTTAAGAATGATGTTTGCATTTTAAAATGTCTGGGAAAAAAAGTAAAGCACTAATATTTATGACACATGAAATGATACTAACTGCAGATTCCAATATCTACAAATAAAGTTTTATTGGAACACAACAATGCTCATACATGTATGTTGTCTATAGCTGCCTAAAGTAGCAGGATTTTGTAGTCATGATAAAGATGATACGGACCACAAAGCCTGAAATCCTTTCTGTCTGGTTTTATAAAAAAAGTTTGCTAGTCCTTGCCGTTAGTGAAAGGCAACCAAGAATGTAGTGGAATGGGATTGTAGGCAGAGTGGATGTTACAGAGGATGTTTCGATGGAACATGTACCAGGTTGATTCGATCTTCAAAAATAAAAAATGATCACTTATTATTTTCTACATAGAATGTTAGTTAACTGAACAAACTTTTCTCACTTAATGATTTTGGATGTACTAAGAAAGTATGAAAAGAGTGAGTATGTTTTCAGGGGCTTAGTAAGAATTGCTTAACATATCTCTATATGTCAGCATCTTCCATGGTGGGATCATATTAACTCCACGGATAAGAAAAGAATATGAAACTCTCAGGTAGTCTAAACATGGAAAAATAGGTGAGGATTTCGTAGGTGTGTTCCATCTGTTTTATACATGATTGAACAAGAAACCCAAATGAACTTACCAAGAATTGTCTGGTTTATAATATGTTCAGAATTCCTTTATACATTTTTAAGACAGTTAGCTTAATAACTTAAGTGATCCCAAGGCTTGCTGACATATTTTTTCCATTTTAATTTTTTGTATAGTTAAATGCAGTCTGATGTGTTTTAAACTCAATAAATGTTTCCCATTGTCAGTGGACCTATAATAATTTGCATGCCTGTAACAAGAGATGAAATGTTTGTAGTGGAAGACTTAGCATCATAAATCTCTCCTTGTTGTTCTAGTTAACATTCCCATGGGCCATGTCCAGGAACTTATAAGAGAGTACGGTGTTGTCATAAAAACAGTGATACTTGTCATATGATCTTTCAGAACCACATTTATAGAGTGCCCATATACCGACTCAAAGAAGTATGTTTTGTTGCACTGAAGTACCAACCTATTACATGACATCCTAGTTACCTGAAGAGACCAATATAATTTCTAAAAAGAAAGTTTACTTCATTGCCCAGGAGTCAGAGAAATAAAACTAATTTTCCCACATCAGCCCCTTGGTATTTTGGTGTTGGCAGTTAGCCTATGGCACTAGCAAGGATCTTTGAGCAGCAGTAGAATGTTGTGTATAGAATTTACAGAGGTCCATGATGAAACATGTGAGAACACCCTAACATTAAAGGTCTCCTATAGTAATTCAAACATTCTTTACCAATTTGCTCTTATATTTCCTTCAGCACATCAAAGAAAGTGCTAAGCAACTCTAATCCCATTGCCAAAGGTTTCAAAATTTCATTAGCTTTAGACTTTGGGGTGATGACCTCAACCATGTGTCTTGTACCCCTGCCATGACATCAGAGTGGAAGATGTAAATCATAACACTATTGGTCCATCTAACAAAGCTCAAGAATGCTCAGTGTAGGAAATTTGAATTTCAAAGCAGACAGGTAGGAAAAATAGAACAGGAAAATAAGTGAATAGCAAGAGTCCAACTTGGTTCTATTAGTGAATCCTCGGGGATTCCAGTTGTAGGTTACCATTTTGAGTGTTTTGTTCCTCTAGGTTTCATCCTCAGAAACCCAACAAGTTCCACTAGCCCAGCATATCTGCCATCCTGAGAAGTGGAAGTTCTGGATCTCTGCCATGGATGGGAAAAGAGGAGGCGTCTCTCTTTACTGTTCTATGTCATCCCTGAGGAAAATGGATGCCCTTATTTTCTATACTCCTTAGGGCCCTCTTTGCTTATTTTTAGCCAGTTCTTTATTATTCCAACCCTCTGTTACAGTCAATAATTCTATATTAAAACTATTATTTTTCAAATGACTCTGAGATCTCCCTCCTCATCACACTCAAACTGCTAGGTAAGTTTCCATTTTCTGGCCCCTGGGATGTTCTTGTTCACATTGATTTCCATTTGGGATCACTCCATTTGAGACATTAGGAGATGAGCATTTCCCAACAATAACAAATGCTGGCGGGACTGCAGGGAAAAAAGAAGCCTTTGACATTGTTGGTGGGAATGTAACTAGTACAAACAATTTAGAAATCAGAATGGAAAGTCCTCAAAAACTAAAACTAGAGATTCCATTTGACCCACTTATTCTCCTGCTAGGTATCTTTCTGAAAGAGTTAAAGATATTCATATTATGTGATACATGCATACCAATGTGAATAGCAGCACAATTCAAAGTAGCTGCTAAATATTGGAAGCAGCCTATATAGCCACCAACTGATGAATGGATAAAAAAAAAATGTGGTATCTAAACACAGTGGAGTACTACTCGGCCATCAAAGAGGAAAAATTTGAGTCATTTGTAGGAAAATGGATGCACCTTGAAACAATAAGCTTCAGTGAAATAAATCAGACACCAATTTTAAATATTGCATGGTTTCTCTTATATGAGAAACTCAAAATCTAAATAAAGAGCAAATGAAGTAGGTAACAAGAAACAGGAAGCTAGATCTTTTACAAATAGGAAAGGGAACAAGAGATGCAAGAAAGTGGGAGGGATGGAAAAGGAAGGGGACATAAAAAGAATTAAGAGGTGTTATGTACATGTACCAACTCCTCATAATGAATGTACTCATTATGTACTGCAAACAAGTATTAATAAAAATAAAAATTTTAAAATATGAGCGTTTCCAAAGTGGTCTATTAAATGATTTATCACTACCTGATAGATGTAAGTATATACTTAGAAGATATATATCCTGTGTGTGTGTGTGTGTGTGTGTGTGTGTGTGTGTGTGTGTGTGTATGGTAGAAGGGATTAAACCAAAGCCCTTCACACTGAGCTACATCCCCAGCCCTTTTTATTTTTATTTTTATCTTTATTTTTTGAGACAGGAGTGTAAATTGCCCAGACAGGGCTTGTGATCCTCCTGCCTTAGCCTCCCAGAATGCTCGGATTACAGGTGTGCACCGCCACACCCAGCTTAAAAGACATATATCATCAAGAAATGAAAATGTGGACAGAAAATAGAGATATTTTAAAGCAGAAAATAAAGTTGGTCAGTCCTCCTGACATCTTCCATGAAATGTCATAGTCCACACATCAATCAAAATATACATAAAATTACATGCAAAATTTCCAGAGTTGCTCTGTACCTAAACCTGATTAAAAGCTATGGCCAATATAGGAAGATAAAAGTCTTGGAAGACAAGAAGAACAAAATGTTCCCACAAAGGAAAAAAGAAAAGCAGGACTAGATAATTGCTGCCTTATTTTACTTGAAGTGAGAGACTAGGCAATTCCAGGGCTTACGATATAATAAAACTGAAAAGCCAGTGGTTTAAATAAGATAAATAGATTCAGTATTGCCAACTTTCTCCCAGCTCTCAATATGCTATACCCATCTCAAATCTCTAGTAGAATTTAAAATACAGCATTCACAAACATATAGTTATTGCTTCTAAAGAAATTTAAAGGTCTTTGAAGTAACCTTAAAAACTACTAAGTTAAAGCAAAAAAAAATGTGTTGGAACATTAAAGGTGTCAGCTTGTCTAGAGAGAATATAGTAATGTAGTAGAGAAATATAGTTGGGTAGCCTGCTTGTAGCTATTTCACAGAGGGCTTTGGTACCATGATTCCCACCTTTTGTACAATTACAAGAGGAAGAATATGTAGGCAGCTTATTGAAGCCATGCTTCTGGTCCTTCCCTCTCCAGCTCAGCCTATCACTCTTCCTGGTCTGAACAGGAGAGTAGAATGGAAATTTCCCTAAGTATAGTCTACACTCAAATGAGACAGAAGAGCTGTGCAATTGCAGGGCCAGCTCCCCTTTTCATTTAAAACATGGATACTTGGTTTATTGTGGATTTGGGTATTAAATTTGATTTTTTGGAATATTGTATTAAAGCTGACTCAGTAGCTTACCCTTATAATCCCAGCTACCTGGAATGCTGAGGAGGAGATCACAAGTTTGAGGGAAATCAGGGCTATTTAACAAAACCATGGAATCCCGCTCCACTGTTGGTAGGAGTGTAGACTAGTACAACCACTGTGGAAGTCAGTGTGTAGAATCCTCAGAAAACTAGGATTTAGAGGTCTCATTCAACCCAGCTATTCCCCTTCTGGGTATTTTTCCAGAAATGAAAATATGATACCACAGTGACATATGTGAACCCATGTTTATAGCAGCATAATTTGTAATAGCTAAATCTTGGAAACAACCCAAATGCCCATCAACTGAGGAATGAATAAAAAAAGATGTGTTTTTTTCATACAATGGAGTATTACTCAGCTATAAAGAAAGATAAACTCGAGGCTTTTATAGGTAAATAGATGCAACTAGAGACCATACTCATAAATGAAATAAATCAGACCCACATGTGTAAAAATCATATTGTCCCCCTAGTGTAAGAATCTGAAAAAGTAAATAGAATCTGAAAAGTACAATAGATATTGTGAAAGGGAAAGAAACTGCTCAAAAGGAAAGAACTGAGATGAGGGAAAGGAGAAAAAAGAAAGAAGGGAAAAAAGTATATAGATATAAAGATAGCCAAGATAATTGTACTACTAATTTCTGTTGGTTTATTGAAAGGAACAGTTAATGTTTAATTGTTTGATTAATTTTGCATGCCTATATCTGATAATCTGAAAAATCACTTTGAAGATAACAATATGTAAAACAACAACCATTGTTAATTTCCTATCATCGTGTTTTGAAATTCTGTATTTTTATTGTTTTTGTGTTGTTGTCTGTTTTTGTTATTTTGTTTTTGCTTTTCTTTCTTTAAAATAAAAAAAAGAAAAAAATTTTCAAAAAGGGATATGATGTAGCTCAGAGCTCCCCGGATTTGAGTCCTAGAACCGTCAAAAGAACAACAACAAAAAAAATTGTATTAAAAATATCATTTGGAAAACTAGATTTTGGAACTCCTTTAAATTTTGCACCCAGACAATGTCTCATTCATTTCATTCTTGTCCTGGCTCTGTCCTACCTCTCTGTTAGTACCCCACACTGACAGAATGATTTCTGACCTTCCTATTTCATCACTATCTTTTTTATGTATTACTAAATGTAAATATAATTGCATTTTCAAACTTCAGTTCCTAACTGAGGTATTAGTACAGATATAACAGAAGAGTTTGACCTTCACTATATACGAATAATTGTACCCATACACACACACACACACACACACACACACACACACACACACTGTTTACCTCTTTGGCAACAAACATATAGATTGCCTGTGCTTATTTTTAGTTACTTTTTAAAAGGCAGAAAATGTGCCTTCTTTATGGTTTTCATTCACTTTAGAGCTATTTTCAGTTGTATTTAAATATGTTGCAAACACAATCCACTAAGACCCTCTTAGTTTTGATTTCTGTATTTCTTTCCCATTAAATTAATTAGATTCTTCTTCTAATCAATGAAATAAATTCCATTATCAAATCTTTCCAAGAATTTTGAAAAGGCAATATCTGCTGATCTTACTGTAAAAAGTAAACTTTCCCCAAAGTGGAAAAAACAGATGTTAAGAAAAGAAAAAGTTGACTTAGCTAATAGTATTCTTTCCTTTGTCCATACAGTTACTTTTCTGGCAATTCATATCTCTAACCAGAGAGTACTTTTATTTGTTTCCTAACTTTCTATAGTTTTTGATGACCAAGTTAGCTTCTTAATGATGATACACTGGTTCTTTGGCTTTTTGAATTAGAGATTTTTCACCTACCTTAAAGTCAATCTTATTTTACTCTTCAAATGTACAAAAGAGTCTTTGTAAGTTTTAGTTAAGCTTTGTACTCAATGTTAAGCCAGGATCATATCTACATATTTAAGCAATAAATTAAAAATCCTGCTGGCTGATACTATTCTCATTATTTTCCAGTAAGAAATTATACAGTAAATTGAGCTGAAGGGAATGTTCCAGATCTTCATTGATTTATTCAGCTTAAAGTTTTACTGTTCAAAATGTGAGCTGCATCAAGCAATTTCATGAATACATTCTTTTGTTTTTAACTGGCTGCATCGGTGTTTATCTTTGCTGAGTGAAATTGCTATGGATAGTGCCATAACCATGGTATTGCCATAACCATATACATAGATGTTGGTAGAAGTGTTACAATTTATTACACATCACCATTCACAGTTTAATCATGGCTTCTCTTATACCATTGGTACTGATTCATACAGAAATATTCTTTTTCAAAAACATTTGTGATAAAACTTGAAATGTGAAAAATAATAAGAGAATTACTAAAACTATGATACACAGGAAGCATAACCTTTTAGACTCAGCCTTGAAAATTGAAAGCCTTTCAATTTTCAATTTTGTTTTGCTAGCGTTTACAAACTCAACCATAAAAATTCCCTCTAGGCAGAGACCTGGCAAAAACATTCAAGTTCAAAACCAGCCTTTCTATAGAATGTTTCTTATTGTCAGTGTTAAAAACATAAAAACTGGAAGACAAATAGTTGGAAAGTTTCTTTTCACTTGTCCCTGAAAAAAAGAAAGGAGGGCATACATCTAAACAGATTAAAGTCTAAGCAATCCATCAGTCATTTTTATTAGACATGTATGAAAAGAAAAATAAATTAGTTTTCATTCATTCACTTCACCCTTGAAATTGTTCTATTATGTGGAAAATTTATGTGGCCTTGATAATTTTAATATGGGTTGTTCCATTTTCTGAATTTCTCATTTGGGAGAGTTTACTTGTTTTAGACATAAACTTGGTCCTTCCCTTTGACCTTCCTTCCAGGAGCAAAGCAACAAGAGTATGTGTAAACTACAGTTCTTCTCAGCACATCCTGGAAGGATGGAGAGAGCTAAGAAATTGGATGTGCACTGGAAGACCTATTTAAC